ACAATTCATGTTAGTGTTGTCTCATATTAAAAGGGCTGTTTGGAATACAGGCAGCAGACTTCCTAAAATGTAAGATTCGTTCCAATTCATAAAAGAAAAATGCAGCAGGATTAAGATAATCAAAGTAGAACAGAGCATTTTCATTTGCACATTTCAGTTGATCTCATTCAGAGATTCTGGTCTAATTTTAGATGTATACATAAGATCCGGGTTCCTAACTTCAGGACAAAGGAAAGAAAAGGGGACCCATTACTCCTGCTTGTGACTTTCAAAATATTCCCCTGAGAGGTGACATACAACAGCAGTATAGGTGACTTCCCCTGATATTAGTGACATAAACAGCACTTTTCAAGCGTGTTCTGCACAGGGTCAAAACCAGCCCAGGCAGATGTAGAAATTTTAGCACACATGAGAATAAACCCCAAAGAAATGTCTTCAAGGTTTCCCACCCCTCCTAGAAGTTTTAAAGAAAGAAGTAGCCATAAACACAGAAAGCATTGTAGGGCGACTTCAGAATCCTAAACCAGACTTTTTTTTTCAGACGTAGTTCCCAGAGGTTTCAATGAGAATTCTCTTTTTCAGTTTTTGCAACACACCTCTCTGTGGTAAGATCAGTCAGAGGACCTGCAGGGACAGCGTGGCCGTACACGCGTTACTGCGTTCCCGTAGCACTGAACACTGGCACAAAGTGCTGACTGCTACAATGGACCCGTTCCAGCTCCCCCCTTTCTCCTTCAGAACTGCTCTGATCAATCTTATCAATAAAAATAAATCAATCCACAAAACATGGTGCCACATGGTGCCAATATGTTGATTTTTGAATCTGCAGTAAATTTATTAGCAGTTACAGAACGCTGGGAAAGGAAATTGCTTAATCATACTTTACTATGTATAGTATCTCTCAGCTGCCTGTTTTGTGAGTATAGGTACCATGCTCTTACCATCTCATTTTACACATTGTATAAAAAAATATGATGTTGCGCAGCACATCGGAGTTACGTAACATTTTCATCAGTGGGAGCGCCCTACTCCCCGCTCTCTCAGAGCTGTGCCCTTATGAAGTAGGAACAATAGTTTAAAAAAAAAGTACAAACAATGCTTTTACTTTTCTGATTTAGGATTACTCCATTTCTGTGCAACTTCAAACTAAGCAGGTACAGCTCTTTTTATGCTTCTGAAATAAGACTAGGAGCCGACAATGCAGATTTCTCCCTGCCATCCACCTCAACCCCAAATGTACCTGTTACACTTTCTTCTGGGAAAACCATTCTTTGATTAAAAAAGGCAAACCCCAATCAACTTCAGTGCCCCAGCGTTTTGCAGCACAGGGGAACTTTCACTGATTCTGGTGGCGTTCAAGTAACTTCTTGGTGCCCAGTGAGGCCCAAGCATAGGGCTTAGGCTTAAACTCTTCCTCGAGGAAACACCATTCGCGGATGAGTAAAGGGTAATTGTTATAAAATGACTTCCTAAAATTGATTGAGTCAGAGTTCCCAATTTCTTTATTTACCAAGCGGCAACAAGCAAAACAGCGCTGGGCAGCCGGGGAGTCTCCTGCTCCAACAACGGCCCGCACCTCTCAAGGAATTTTGTCTTAATTTCATACTACAAAACATTGCATATTCATTACACGCCTATACATATACATTACCCAAACCCGCCCACTCCCGCTTCGTATGGTAATTACCTTATCAGTCCTTTACGCTTGCGCAGATGCTGCTGAAAATTACGGGCCGGGGTCTTCAAATCATGGGCGGTGGTCTTCGGGAGGAAGGCTGTAGGTCCTCCTCACAGTGTACTTTTCACCCTTCACCTGGAATGTGATGATTTTACAAGCTTGCAGTGCTCGTATCAGTCTAGGCTCATTGCTGGTCTTGAGTAAGGAGATTTATGGACGTCCTTGCTCATGCTTTGTAAAGTACAGACACTTCTCTTTTTCTTCTCTCTCTTGTTGCCCCCCCTCCCCCTTTCTTTCACTCTTTTACACAATATCGTTTTAGCATGTCAGTTCAGTTAAGCACTTGCCGTTAGTTCTATACAATGTGCAATAGTTCCTACGACAGTTCACCTTTCCGTTGTCTTTGCGCTGATTTTGATGAACAAACAGTGTGCCATCCATCAGAGTAATTACATAATATGTAGCAGAGGAAAATTACAGACAGGAACGTAGTGTCATGGAGTTGCCTGCTTTTGCCTAAGCATCAGTAGCACGTGACCGCACAGCTGCCATTTTATCACATCACGACTGTTATTTCTGTTATCATTCGTGATGAGAATTTGCATTATTCAGGTCAGCCAACCTAGGGGAGTTTTGCAAGGGGTGAACCTGGCCTTGGGATTCTTGTACCTCAAGTTTGTGTTGGATGAAATCCCGATACTCACACCTAACAAAACCAGCAAGAGCACGGCTGTAGCTTCAGCAGATGGGATGGGGCACGATGCTGAGCTGCTGGGTGACTCAGCCCATCTCTAGTCTCAAACAACGACGAGACAAACAGCACAGACCATTTCATTGTAATTGGAAGCCAGTCTTTATCCTGTTCCTTTGTTCACTACTTCAACGATGTTTCTAATAATATATCAAGAGGCTAGATTATACGCTGCATTATGGCACAAAGCAACAAAAGGGAGACAAAGGGAATGGGGAAATCGGAGTCAGTGCTACCCTGTACCTGGATATACAAAATTCCAAAGCAGGATGCCCTCAGTAGTAGCTTTCCTTTCCTCGTAGTAGCAAAGCTTCATCCTTACCTCTGAGTCACACTGAAACCCAACACTGCAGGGCTGTCTGCAGACACACTTCCCATCTTCCTGGCACACACCGCTGGCAGAGTGGAAGGGGTTTTCCTCTCATTTTCCCTCTCTAAAAAATATATGAGAAAGAATATTAACAGCCTACAATTACAAAGCTTATTTTCCTGGGATACAAAGTTATTTTTAGAAGCTGAGGTACATTCATTTATTAATACATGGCATAATAAATGATACCATTAATAATTAAATCTTATGCTCAAACTGAATGGAGGGGAGATTAGCATAAATCCACTGGCTTGAAACAAGGTATGCCAGTTTGCAGTAGCTGAGCATCCCAGAAGAATTTGTGTTTAGAAGGTCACTGAATCTCTGACCAAGCCTGCTGGGAAGCTTTCCATCTGCTACGACGTCTTCCCTGGGTGCTCTGCAAGCTACCTCTTCTGGGCCAAAGCCAAAGCCAACCCCAATCTCTGTTAAAACTAAAATGTATTAGTGTGCATAAAACTATACCTGAGCTGTTGTACTTTGCTTACTCAATGTCTGAATAATGAAGAGCTGTTCTAACATGCATGAATGCAACGGCTACGGAAATTTAAATCCCAAATTTTGATTAAAATTTTGAGTAGAAGCCTCACTTGCAGTGCTTGTAAATTGGGAGCAATTCTGTTGATCTTCGTGGGGACACTTCAGATTTGCAAAATAACATCTCTCATCAGCTCTACTGTGATGAGGTGACGCACGAGCCTTTACTAGCTCTTAGTACAGTTCATTCCATCTAGCATGAGCTCAGATGGGAAGAGACTGTAGTTTTGTACCTCTGACAGGCTGCTGCCCTTCACAGCTTAAGACCCCTCATAGTCAAGTACCCTAAAACCTATGGAAATACTACGGATACCACACACAGGCAACGTTCTGTTTGAGGTCGATAGAAGATAGTGGGAAACATGATTAAATCAACCTGGCTCTACCTTTCGTAGATGACTGGTATTAAGCAAACACCTCTTTGTGCCAGAAATACTTAACTACCATTGCAATTAGGGACAGATTAATTTATGTATATTACTAAATCTTTCCCCTTTAAGAAGCAACCAAAGGTTTCAGTGGTATCTCTCTCCTAATAAATGTCCCTCAACCCACACCTACGTTTACTCCTTCCTCAAGAAAACTTTGTTTTGTAATATATTTGCCCTTTTGACTCAGACAAACTATCATTGCCTTTCTGAGCAGCCAGTGAAGTCTGTGCCCAATACATTCCTCATTTACTTCTCAAGAATCTCTAATACATAAATACTGTTTTGATTAACCAGTGGCTAATAATCTGGCTCGGAGGTAGCTCTCAAATTGTAGTCTCGGTGTTAGCCAGATTGGGTAAGGGTACTCAGTCCCCACGGTGCAAGTCTCAGACAGACTTACCTCTAGAGAATCTCGAGGCACTGAGGGAGCAAGGCTCAGTAACCAGAGGTTGATGTGTTCTGCTAGGACTGCAAACCATGCTCCGTATGAGATTTTTCATTTGTGTAACTACCTGGTAATTACAAGGTAATTACAAGGAACCGCTTGGAACAGAGGACGTGGCAAGGCCTGCAGGAGCTCCACGAGCGCACACACGCCTTGTGAAAACTGCGAACGGAAGGAAAAAAATCCGCCATTTCTGCCCGCAGTGTGGGGGCTTGAGGAGCAGCGAGGGCTGGGGGCACCGCAGCCCCGCACTGGGCCTCCCAAAGGCCCCGGCCCCAACGCGGGGTTCGCAACAGCGCCCCGAGGGCTCCTGCCAGGGCGGCGAGCGGGAAGGGGAGGCCGAAGGCTGAGGGGGGCA